TATAGCATTATGGCTTTTACAGTAAAGTCGCAAAGAGGAGGCCACTAGTTAGCGAAAACAATAAAAAAAAACAACAACCAGGTATTATGGTGCAAGAACGTGTAATTATAACCGAAAAGGAGTGAGATTTAAGCGCGACGCCGCAATGATTGTCTTCTTGAGGGTGTTTTTTTTTCGTTGGGTAATGGTGCAGAAGAGGAGGCATCGGAAACAACAGTAGCTGGAGGTGATGGTGATGCGGATTCGATATGAGAGGGTGAAGGGGTAGCAGGGCGAGTAATAGATTTTTCGAATTCTTTTTCAGTAGATTTCTGTTTCGGCTTTTTGTATCTACGTGAGGGTGAACTGAGATCGTCATTATCTTCTTCATTTTGGACCCATATTGTTGTATCTCTTTTTAGTCCTTGCCCTGCTTGAGATGCGAATTCGAAGTGATGTAGGTCACAGTATAATTGATTTTCACTGACTTCTATTTCTCCTGTGATTATCAATCTTGACCCCTTTTTCGCTGATGCGCTTCTACCCGTAAGCCTTGAGATGCTCTCATGACGCGAACACAGTATATCGCATTCGTAGCACTTAATACCGCTCGTATTCTTTCCTACAAATTGTTTACAAGATAAATTAAAGTTCCAATAGCTTTCCTGTAATTGTGGTTGATCGTTTAAGATGCCCATGCATATTATATGTGTGGAGTTTTGTGGGAGAGATTTGGCATCGTAACATGTGTTTTGACACCTGTAGGCCGATATCTGAAGATGTGTTTATAGTATCAGTAATGGAGTGTATAGTAGTGATGGTACAAACTTATACTTACTTCACATATATCGTCTTTAATGTTAGTAATTGAACCGAAGACCTTTATCACATCGTCTTTATTTGGCTTATACACGGGCGTTTGTACCGAGTTGAGTGGAATAAAAAGTTTGATTAATAATTTTATGTGGGTGCGTACAAAGTTATATGCCGATGCGTGACACTGGACAATTATATAGTCATGAGCAGTTGTCTCAGTAATTTGCTTTACGAGACAGGTTGTATCAACGTAGATGAACATCGTTTCTGGTGTTGGGGGAATGGGAGATTTGATCGATATATAGAAATTTTGTTATGTGGTATTTATTACATATATTTTGGTAAATATATAGAAATTTTGTTATGTGGTATTTATTACATATATTTTGGTAAATATAACCAAAGTGGGTAAAGTATGTTGCTACAAAAAGTATGTTAGTCGATGTAGATCTAATCTAATATGTACGTATTCATTACGTAATATTGGACGGTCTGGATTTGGTCAAAGCATTTATTCAAGTTCGTGTGAATAAATACGTTGCATGACGTTTGCACAATTGATGACGTGATAGGGATGACTCACTTAAAAAATTCCGATGGATATTATTACAGCCGAAAATTTTTGAGTTAATAGTAATTTAATTAACTAAAGCAGGTAAGTACTTATTATGACACAGATTATTATTGGTTAAGTGGGTTCACTTAAAGTATTATGAAATGTCCCATTTGCAATTTTTTTATTGTTCATTAAACCAATCGTGCGCCTGTTTACTGTAAATGGAAATTTATTTAATGTTTACATTTCGCTTAACGCCACGTAGACCTGGGAGCCATTGTTGCAAAGCAGTTCATTAAAGAAATTACATCCTCGAAAGAAACCGACGTTAATGTAGATAGAAGAGGTATTTCTGTATTTCTAATATCAGTTAATTTGTGCAGTTGCGTATACCAGGATCAAATAGTTGGATGTGTTTATGTGTACAGTAAGTACATATTCGCAAGATATGCGTTGATTTAGCATATGTTATTATTTGACAAATTTTATTTGTATGATGTATAAAAAATTATTCGTAATAACACAGCTAACTGAAAGCAGTAAGTATATACAGTGTTTCTATTGTCTATGAATAAAATATTTATTGATTATTGACAAGATTACGGTTACCGAATGGAGTCTGTTGAGCGCGCTGTCGTAGTCTCGAATATTCTGCAATAACACCCCTATCCACACTAAACGCTTCTCTGTTCAAAGCGTGTATTGTTATATCATCCAAGCGAGATGCACGGCTTAATGCTACATAAGCTTGTCCTGGAGCAAAAAACTGTTCATCAAGAAAAAGTCCTATTTTTGGTAATGTCAATCCCTGAGCTTTGTGGACAGTAATTGCAAAACAATTCATTAGAGGAAACTGTGTTCTCGAAGCGGAAGTACCATTGACGTGAAACGATATTGTTATAGGCGATATTTCTACATCTCTAATGCCAGTTGTAGAACAAAACATGACTCGGACTTTTTTAATCTCAGGATCGACATTTGTGACAATTCCAATGGTGCCATTGCATATACCAGCGTCAAACAATTGATTGTTTAAGAACATAACTCGTGCTCCACGTTGTAAACGAACAGTAGCGGGTAGATTTGTACGATGTTTAAATAAAGACTGAGCAGATTGGTTTTCCCATAGTTCGTTGTTTATATAGTCAATGGCATCGTTCAGCAAAAAGTTATTGTCTTCGACTATTAGCATATTACAGAAGGACGTGTCGATCTTTTGAGCAGATTTACGGTAGCCAACGATGTATGTAGTTAATGCATCAATATCGATCGGTTGGTATAGCGATTCTCTATACTTTGTTAAGAGAATATTCCAAAGTCGGGATGTAATGTTTCCATAACGAACTGCTTCTAGTAATTCATAGAATTCCATGTCTTTTTCTTGACGGTGGGAAGTTGTTAAAAAAAGCGGATAAAATACTGGCCAAACAGGCGATAAGTATACGGGTGGTCCATTAACAGGTGGCAATTGTGCGAGATCGCCTACCACAACCACACATATACCACCAAAAGGATAATGGTTGTTATGCAGCTGCCCAAATAGGTTAGAGATAAAAGATAGTAAAGGAGCCGAAACCATTGATACTTCATCGATTATGATAGTATCAATTTCGCGGAGTGAGTTACGAAGATCGACATCGTGATGTACAAGTGTCTGAAATCCAGATTGGGATGATGTGATACGTAGCTCAGAATGTATCGTTTTATCACCAATGTTTTGTGCAGCTACACCCGTTGGAGCCATTAGAAGGTATTTAGATCTGCGCGTACTTAGGAATTGACATAGTAAACGGATGATATACGTTTTACCAGTACCAGCTGATCCAGTGACAAAAAAGTAAGGATATTTGTCATTCGACATAGACCCCATCCAATGCGTTAATGTATTCATGACGTAATATTGGTCTGATGGTAAATTGAGTGTGAGTGAGCGTGGCATAATGTATGGAGCGGGCTGTAGGGCAAGTAGCTGCGTTCTGAGTATACCTATGTTATGTATAGAAAGTTCGTCGCTTAATCGATGCAGAATAGAGTCCAATGCTACAGCGAATTGTCGATTAAACTCAAAGCGTGTTCGTTCAATATAGGTCGAATTTTCGTGTTGTATTTGTCTTAAGGCATCAGGAAACAATGCCAAATATCGATCACGGTAATTATTATATGATCCACAAATCTCCGCATCTGAACGCCAGTTACGATGTTTTAACAGAAGTTGATAAAAGTACGAGTCGTTATTATTAATGCATAAGGGACGGACTCTAATAATGATTGGCTTGGTCCGTCTTAAAATACGATTTCCAAATTGATCGCGGCCTACAAGACGCGGCACATTTGGTCCTGGAGATTTAATGTCATAAAGTCGGTAATATTGTTCATAGGTCAAAGTTTCAAACATTTCTCCGGCTGGACGATTAAAGTATTTATCCAGAGAATCTTTGTAATATGGATCATCCGGATTATTAATTAATAGATTAACTGGAAGAACTGTTTTAGACCGACTGTCAGGTGTATCAGTTGGGAGATATTGCACCTTAATGGACGAGTGGCATATTTTTTCTCCAAGTGTAAGAAACATTACTTCCATTGCGCTTAGACGGCGAGCTATTACATGTTGCCAAAATCGATCACCTTCTTTTACGTTAAAAGAATGGGATGGTTCTGTTTTTGCGATATATTTAGTCATATATTTCGCAAACCCTCTAGACGACACATATTGGATATTCATATGTGCATCCCATGCAAGTAAAGTAGGTGCGTGATATGGTACAATGAATTGATCCTTCTGCTCACATTTATAAATGTAACGGGATGATTCATTGCAGTAAAAGGTTTCAGGTGCAAGTGGACGTGGAAAGCCTTTCCTGCATCGCTCACCTTCAGGCAGCGGACCGCCACAACGTAATAAGTCACATGTGTGAACTTGGTGTGCTAATACTTTACGATAAAGTTCGGGTTCATGTATAGGGTCAGGTAAGTCAGCACGTATTTGACTAGTCTGCATCATTTCTTCAACAGAGCTAGTAGTCCATAATACTGTATGAAGGTGAGCCGCACCACGATTTTGGAACTCCGTTCTTTCAAAGAAGTGTTCAATAGTTCCCCATCCGGATACAAGACTATCATACCATATTGTTTTCTTAAGAGCTTGTATACGATTAATGTAAAATAATGTTACGTGTAATGGTCTGTTTGTTGGAATTGTATCTCCATTATCAGTATTGCGCAATATTTTTCGTAAATGTTCCCATCGACTTTCTGCCATTGACAATGTGACAAATAGAGTCGGAAGCCCGTACTCAGCTACCATCGCATTTGCATGAAGTTCTTTTTGATGAAAGTAAGTATCACCCGTGCGAACAAAGCTTGGAATTGGGTCAGTGATTTTTTCATTAATAATTAACTCATTAGTGTATGCACTTTGACGTAACAATTCGGAAGCGGATGGAGGTCTATAGTTTCTATCAGTGCTGCGTTGACGTAGCAAGCGTTGGCGGTTTTGAAAATTGCGTAATTTTTCGAGCTGGAGATAACTCCATACGGGCCACGTAGGGTGCAGTCTAAATCGTGAATCATATCCTAATAATCTTTCTTTTATATATTTTCCGTACGTCTCGGCTCTGGATTCCGAATTATTAACGCCTTGATTAAAATATCCATTTCCGTCAGGGAACAGATCCGGAAACACTAGTGGTTCTAATTCCGGATCCGAGAAAGAAATAGGTATTTTTTTATTATTTGGATCCAAGACGAATCCAATTGCTAAGCGGGTATAATGCGAATCCTCATTATGGATTTCAGCTGGAAAATCGAATGGTGGAATAATGGCCTCACTACGTGTAATTGGTGGAATGTCTGTGTCAGCGTGCATTGCAACAGGCCAAACGGGCACGTTTGGTTCTGTTCTTTCTCGTAAGGTAGATGCGATAGAATGATATGCACGTAGATATGGATTATATTCTTGCAACCATTCACAGGCTGCTGGCAGTGAAGGATGATACCAACGATTTTCGGGTAGTTCGAGATTTACTTCGTCGTTTTCGAGAAACGCACCGAGCATACCAGAGTATAGATATAAAGCTCGATAATTTTTAGAATAATTCATTATGCCCCTTATTGAACGGTATTCACTAAATGAAGAAAGATTGCCAGTACGCCCAAGGCTCGAATGGAGAAAGACAGGAGAAAGATATTTTCTTTTCCCATAGGGTACGGCTTGAATTTGCGGTGGAATCGGACAAAGTCTGAGGCAGCGTTTACGAGGTGGATTACGACAGGCTCTGCATGAAGCAAACGTATTCGGCCTTTTTAAGTTTTCAAGTAAAGCGGTGTCTGGATATAATTCCTCAAATGGGAAAAGTGAGTTTGAATTTCTGCGAACCCATACAGCTTTGAGTGGGTAAAGCAATCTGCCGCAATAACAACACGGAGCACAAGGAAATTGTGCATATGCTTCTTCGTGAAGGAAGCGTAATTTCTTTACTAGTTGAAACGATGGACGCCAATATTGAGCACGAGGTGAAACAGATGTATTGTATTGTGACTCAACGATTGCAGGTATTGATGTTTGTGATTGAGGAGTTATTAATGTTGTTTGGGTTAGGGTTAGGGTTAGGGTAAAAGAGAAATCAATGAAGAATCAGTAGTGAAATCTATAATGGTTTCGTATTCTTGCAAAGTAGGTAAATCAACGATTTGGATAAGCCTCT